TCACCATCCTTGTCATCAGTCATGGTATAGCCACATCGGTGATAAATTGGCTCTAATAGTTTGTCTACAAAAAGATCGTCAGCTACTCTTTCAATTGTTCTCACAGGATCGATAGTGACCGTCAACGCCTGAGTCCTTCGCAGTTTGGTCTTCAAGCAACAAAACCCTAGCTCAATCGGATTCAGTTCGGGGCAATAAGCAGGTAGGTATCGCAGAAGGATACCTGCAGAGCAGGTGTAGATTAGTCACTGATATTGGAGACAATCAAGCTATTCAAAGCTGAATAAGAAAAACAACGTACCTTTTTGTTGACAAAGAGCAGCAATTTGTCCTCCATGATGAATAGATGCGTTGTCCAGAACCAGGACACTGTTAGGGCCAGGGCAGCGATTCATTCGGGGTAGCTAATGAATTACTTTGGGAATCAGTAATGTCATCAAAAAGATCATCCAAAGAATCTACATACGTACAAGTTTGTATTTTAGGAAGGCTTCAAAGCGCTTTCGATTGACCGGACCGTCCAGCACAGAGAGAGCCAGGAGGTCGTGGTAACCAATTGCTGGGAGGACAGAATACCTACCCCGATGGAGTCTTGGTACTTTGCGAGTCGTTCGAGCACCAAGTTTGGCTCGCTGACGGATGCAAAGGAGATCACGTCCACATATGGCACTCTCATCTGTCCAATAGTGAAGTGAAACAATCAGAGAGTGTCAAGTCATTGAGAAAGTGCGAGAAAATTGAGAACACAAAAAGCTCCTCACCGGTGAATACCAAAAAGTTGGCTGGAAAGCCCATCATTTTATCGATCCATTGATATTTTGCTACCAAGCTCTTTCGAACATTGCTTACTTGAGCTTTCTTCAAACTGATGAACAGACGATTTTGAAGTTCTAGATGAGTCGTACTGATTGAAGGCATTTTGCCATGCTCGTCATAGAGCTGTTCACGGATCTCGTCCAAGAACAAGGATGGTTGTTCTTGGACTAGAGTTTCCATGAACTGACGGTCCGCTCGATTCAGAAACCGCTTTCGACCGCGTTTCTCATACTCAGCAGGGTCCCGGATTACTGCTCGAGTGCGATGATAAAGCTGTGTCCATCGGCTGAATGAGCGTTTTGAGATAGCCCGTCGAAGGCGCTGGCGGATTGTGGAGCAAGATTCACCTTCTAGTCGCCAACGAACGGCAAGAACTTTGACATCTGCTGAATAACGTTGAAAGCCCATCGCAGGTGAGACTGAGGAAGATCGGTGAGGGATTGCACATTACAGTGCTCATGAGCAGGCCGCGTCAGCTAGCTGATCTGAATGCATCAGTTGGTCTACAGCACTGGCTGCGGCAACTGCGGCAACTGGAAACTTTTTTTTTCTCGGGCCAGGGGTGCCATTCATTTTAGAAAAAGTAATACATTAAACTCAAAATCTACATATCTTTGCTTCAACATCTAGTATATCTTTGTGTAGGGTATTGTTGGATTCCGCCAGATCTTGCGGTTTTTTTTAGAAATATCAGAATAGTGTTACGTGTTAGACTTGTGAAGGTAGAAAGTTGTTAGAGAGTTGCTTCCTTGCTTTTTTTATTTTTGAACTGTTATTTCAAGGTTGAGGGCAGTCTACAACAATCATAGTTTCACCCGCATCTTGTTATTCTTTCTGCGGTGATTCTTCCCCTCTCCGGCTCAGCCTACGCCACACAGCGTAGGAGTTCTACAACGTGTGACTGGATGTAAGTTGAATTCCATTTCGATTCGGTCGAGCTTGGAGACAACACCACCGGCGCTCCGCTCCGCTTCGCTATATCTTGAAATTTTGCGAGCGGAGCGGTACAGCGCTATGATAAAACGCTCATCGCACCGCTATCTTTGTTGAAGCGCTATGAATTCTGAGAGCGGTGCGATCTTTAATATCGCTCCGCTCCGCTTTGGGCAAATTTCACATTCGAAAGCGCCTAAAAGCGCTGTCAGGAATCTTAGAAATGTCAAAGGTAAAAAAGAAAAGAAAAAGACCAATAACGTTGAGTAGCACTTTGATTAAGACTAATAAACATATTAATAAAGAAATCGGCACCAGCTTTTAATCTATCTTGATCAGCTGCATGTGATGGTAATGGTTCAATCAAGAAAGTAATTTTTGATTTTTGAATCTTTTAATCGATCTTTCAACAAATCGATTTCATTTTAATGATCAAATCACAGAAGTTTTTGTAAGCCGTCTTGAATTACAAATTGAAGCAAATCAAGAACGATGTGAAAGAAACTGTCTCATCCAGCGAACATAACATATTCACGCTCCCAGTCTGAGCATTCCAAAGGTAGAGACACTCTCCAAGAGTGATGGCAAGGATGTTATCAACAGACCAGTCACAAAGACTTAGATAATAATCGTCGATTAAACCAGGTGCATGTAAGTCGTTGATCCTGTCGACGGGGTGCCGATGCCTTGGTACGGTCTTTGCTACTAAGATCTTCCCCCGATCTGGGCGCTCGAGAGCTCGCTGGGACTTTGGCACTGAAGGTAAGGATACGTGCGTTGAGATCGATCCCAAGAGCTGAGGATATCTTGTTGTTGTAGGTAGAATCCGTGCCGAAGGACAATCCATAGTCGTGTGAATTGACATCTAACACACCGCCGTCGACATCACGCGTGATATAACGATCTCCGTTGGCAGCCTGTCGAGTGCGGTGAAAGCCAACGCGATTGGGGTTTTGATGGGACAAATTAACAAGGAAAGTTAGTGAGATATAGATGAAGTACAAAACAAAGATCAGAAAGAAATCTTGATTGTATTTGATCATGTTCACTAACTGCCACTAAGAACACTATAGCTGTTTGTTGGTGGTATGAGGGCATGGAGGGGAATGTTGGGTGAGGTCATTATGTACCCACAAACACCAATGCTCTGAAGTAGTAGGGGCTCTCTGAGGCGCCTTGTTGCTATGCGCTCGGCGTCGCTGTGGCAGTCCATAGCACAGCGAGAAACCGCTATAGAGAGCGGATCTCAAAACTGCTATTTTTTTCTGGGATTCACCATAGCTATAGTGAAACCCGGGACCCGCTATATGGAAAAAGGCCTAGCGCGAGCGGAGCGCGCGCTGTGCTACCGCTCCGCTGCCGCTATCTCGGGCGGAGCGCCGGAGGCGTTGTTGGAGAGATGAACGCATATACGCATATATTCAGTTGTATCATCATTATCGTTTTTTAGTATTGCCAATGCAGGTGCTTCTGTTGTGCAAGAGGCCTTAAAGTACACTAAGGATGACTTTAGTAAAGTATGCAATCGTTCGAAAGCGTATGCTTTTACATCATCCCTTGCTACCAGTATGGCTCATGAAGGTTTCTACGACTCCCTTTTTCCATCAAAGAGCTTCTGCCATCAAGTTCTTCCTTACTGTAAGCATAGAGGTCCTGCATTGAGGTCCCGAGATTCAATCACTTTGAACACATTCTTACGACCATCCTTTGGATCAATAGTCCGTATGATTGAGATGGTCAGAACTGTTGCAGCGGCGGCATTTAAACATACTGGCAAGAAGTGTAACCTTTTTGTAGGAGGACACTCGTGAGGTTTATTGGCTGAGAAATTCGTCTTCGAGTTAGTATGCTGATTCTTTATCTTTGTTCCGAAAGTCTTGTTTCAAAATGATTCATTGTTGTTGTTTTTGGTTGTTGTTGTACGAATTTGATTCTTTGGGAGCGCTAGATGCATCAGTTCCAATAGTTCTCTCCTCAAGCTGTGATCGTTACCCAAGCTGCTGTGAATTCTATTAGCACCCCATTAACGATTGAAAACAGCATGACACCTAATAATAATCATGAATCAGCTGTTGATCAACTCTTCAAACTCTTGCACTGCCTGCGTGCTAAACAAAACAATTATAATCTTAAAGAAGAACAGTCGGGTACTACTCTTCTACATGAAGGTCAGTTTTCTTTTCCTTACCTGTTTATTTTCATCTTGAAAAATTCACCTCGGGTTCAAAATATAGCTCCTAGAAGACGGGATTTAAATCTGCTAGGTCTGACAATTAGTAGAGCAGCTGATATTTTGGCTACAGATCGAAAGAACAAAATGCCAATCGATTGGTCCAATGACGGATAACACTCTAGGCACTACACCTCCTACAGACAAGTGCGTGCTAGTGATCATATGGATGATTAATCATCCTTAATCATTCATATTTGAATGATGAACCATGGAGGGACACTTGCTTTTCTTATCAATGTTGTGTTCACTGATTTGTAATTTAGCTCTTTGGTAACTCAAGTCTCAATTCAAATCTATATATATTTGCGGTACTCAAAGCTACATATGTACGCGTACATAGTTTGCGTACATAGTTTTTTTTGGCGGGGAAAAAAACAAAAGAAGTATATTCGAAGTATTTCGCCCGCCAAAAAAAAACTATGTACGGCAACTATGTACGCGTACATAGTTGCTTTGAGTACCGTAATTAGTTTCATATTCCAAGAGATCCCAGAAGTCAATGCCTACACAAACTTGTCCCAGGGCGCTTCTAGCCAAGTGCCTTAATAGCTTGAAATACATCCTTCGCGGAAGACATCAGCTTACACACTTCCTTTGTTAAGTTGATCCTTACAGGATATGAATGGTTTCATTTGCTCAATGGCAGTGAGGTCCTACAAGAAGAAGGTTCTACAAGAAGATTCATGGCGTCCTCTTGCGTCTTCTTAAGTCAAGAAGACACAATGAATCTTCTTGGATTTGTTTTTCATCTCTAAAAGAGATAGTGAACCACACGGGGTTGTCATGACTTGTTGAACAATCTTGCTCAATCTCACAACATTTCAGATCAAGTTAATTCACAATTATTACTACCGCAATAATTGTAGAGGTGAAATACTCAGGTTTTTGTATCATAATTGCTGAATTACTTTGAAACAGACAAGGTTTTTTTGCAGCTCCAACTTTGAATTCTCCAATATGATCATAGAGGTAAGAGTGGAAAGGATGCCCGACAAGAAAGGCCAGTATGATAAACATTTCAATTTACAATCAATGATGGGTCTTTGGGCAACTTGCGGAGGCCCAGATCATCACACAATTTTGAGCATTTGTGGCCATTTTCAAAAGACTTTAGACCTGAGTGTCCCAAGTTGCCAAAAGCCCAATCATTATATTGCCTGAAAATTAAACAGATCAGTTTACCAAGCAATGTGTTACCAAAATGTGTCATCTCACATACCTTTCAATGAATTTTATATCTGTGATCACCATCCCAATGGTGTGGATTCCAGCAAGACAAGCTTGACCCTTGAAATGGTCATAAGTCCAGTGGGTAAGTGCCCTCATCACCCCGTTTTCCTCTTGGAAAGTGGGATTTTTGATGGCCCGAAAATTGCCATCATCTTGATGATGGATACAGGGACCTATCAAAGACTCTTCAAGCATGAAGATGTCATGCTCGTGTACTGAGCTACTGCCAGGCTTATCCTCATATGCTAAAACGTGGGAAACAACCTGAGGAACGAGGAATCAAAAGGATCAGTCCTACATCATTGTACACATCTAGCAGTGATGAGAAGCATACCCTCAAGCCACGCATTAATTTCCGTTGAGTGCTGGGCATAGACAACGCTTCTGTCACATCCTTGAATTGATTGACAAGCCAGGTGGCCAATAGCATAGCCTGAGCCACTCGACAATAATGCTCGAGTTCCACTGGGAATCCAGGGAAACTCTTGCGAGCAATGACATCCATAACCGTACCCTTGTCCAGGATAAGTTGACCTTTGAACCGATCACGAAAGTCCCAGAGGTGGATCAGTTCATTTTGATTAACTCTGAAGTTGACTTTCAACTGAAAAAATTCATAGTTTTCAACACCGTTCTTGTCTTCATTGGGCATCAGGACCAAAGCATAACCATTCCCAGGTTTCTTTGCTTCAAAATTATTTGCGGGATTAATTCGAGCAACTTTCCAGCCTATGGACAAAGGCGGTTCAGGATCAGTGACATCTAAGTCATCTGCGGACCACAACACATGTCAGATTGAAAACTTCTATTGGCAAACTGGATTGAAGACTTACCAATTTCCAATGCATTTTCCACGGTTCTGCCCTTGATTTTTATAACTGGACGGCCTTCATGATTGAACTCCAAGAAAGGACTCTCCCATATGGAAACCATTTGGGCTTCAACGTCGTAAATTTGAAGGGTTAGATTTGATGCAATATAAGTATGGCGCTGAAAACTGGAGGACTTACGCGCGTCAACTTGCACATCTATGTCCTCCATAGGTAATGGTTTGAAAATAGTGATGAGATAAAGCGCGATGAAATTTTCAATGGACCTCTGTGGAATGCGATATATATGTGTACAAAAATTGTAAATCAGATAAAGAAGAAATTCTTACAATCAGCTGGGGTGGGAAAACAGATGTATTTACAAGGAAAAAAAACAAATGCCAAAGGCATAAGAGTTTTTTTTTTGTGTGACACACTTGACCCACAAATTTATCACTGCTAGACCCTGATTTCATCATAAATTTTGTTCTCTTTCAGTTTCTGAGAAAGCGTCATGATCATATTAGGTTGAATATCAATGCTTGCCTTGTCACAAATTGTTCACTTTGAATATCATCAATTCAAAAGTGAAAGATCTGTGATAAAGCAAGAAACAATATTTGGAGGAATCTAGGGTCTTCAAACAGTTTCACATGGCACAGTGAGCACAAGAAAACACTGTGAGAGCACATACCTTTTTGGAAAGCATTGTTCCGTGTGTGGGATATTTGTTATACGGGTATACAACAACGTGTTTCAAAAAAAAAAGGAGATTAATTTTCTTGGATGCACTGAAAGCTCTTTTTCTTGTGCAATCCTGATTAGCCAAATATTTTGTTTTCTACTTATCCGTTCATCTTGAAGCTTACAATGTCAACACCTTATATCACAAACCCTTGGGACCCACCCCCACCCGGCAAGATGGATTGTGCATCCTGCAGTCGAGTGGTTCCTCATCTACGTACCACAATCTGTGGTTTCTGCATTGCAAAACAACAACCCCCCGGTCACCAGCTGGTCCATTGTGACTTTTGTTCAATTGGCTATCCTCATCTCACCGGAAAACCTCCCATCTGCGGGGTATGTCTTTCCAAGGGTCTCACAAGCTCTGTCAAATGTCCCCGACGCAATGCAGACAATTTGTCTTTACCAGAATCCATCGTTGGATCCAAACGCCCTCGAGCAGCAGATACCTACATTCAACCTCCAAGAATGAACCCTAACCCATCAACGTCTTTCCGTTTTGAAAAGTCCGGTCGTTTCCACACCCCAGAGGCCAATCTTGCTAGCGAAGAGGAATCCAGTTTATGGGGCCGAAAAAGACGAATGGAAAGTGCAGAATCGAAGAAAGTGGGTGCCGCCAACACTAAGGGTGGACGTGCTCGACTGCCACTTACAGGAATCTTAGGTCCGGCATCTCGTGCTGCTGCTGTCAATGTTACCGCTCAACTTATTATCGCTGGAACGCCGAAATCATTTACCACCGACAACGGCGTCAAAACATACTCGAGCTTTATAAACACTCAGGCACCTGATTGGCCCGTCTCTTTTGCTAGAGATGCGTGGAATGACATCATCTCCTTTTGCAACAACGACTTGAAGTTCCCCTCCAAAAACCTGTGTTCAATGTATCAAATATTCCCTCTTCCAATCGAGTTTTCAGATCTCTACATATCCCTGGGTGTAGCCAAAGACCACATGACATATGAACAGATTCGAATCTATGTGGAAACAAAGGCCATCAAAAAGTCCCAACGGGGCCCTTCGCCTAAAATCAACATCACCTTGATTTTCACCCCAGGCGTGTACTTGCAACATGTTTCTGAGGACGAATATGACAGGTAAACCGCAATTTCAATGGGTATGACTCTGAAAGAGTACCTAGATGATGAACCAGAACGTACAAACAGCTCGAGCAAAGCTCTGCATATTTCGCAGAAAAAGAGGATGTCGAATTCAACCTCCGTTGACAGTGAGGGCACAAGTACGTCTCAAACAATTACCAAGATGATAGAGTCGCCCTCACTAACTCTCACCTGAACTACCCAGGTGCCTACTACGACGAGGACGATTTTGAGGCTGCTGTCCGGCAATCCCTTGAGAAACCCCCGTACGTACTTCGGTCTCAGGCATCTGGCCTTTCGGCCACTACATTTCCGGATCCTCTTCAAAAGGGCCAGGGCCCTCCAGGCTGGTGGTTTGATCCAATCAACGAGAGCCTGCCACTGTTGGGATCCAACACCGGCACCTCTGGAACTCTAGAATCGGGAAGTGGTGATATGAGCAACTGCATAGTCGGCAACATGAACATGCTGTCTGGCGTATTAGGATCTGGTACGCATCAATATAATCAATTCTTTGATATTTGAATTTGTTGACATATATGTTTGACTACAGACTTCGAATCTTCCAACAAAAACATGCCAGACCTCCGATTTTTGGGTGAAGTCGCCGTGCCTATATCCACCACCTGGGCCAATCCCACCCGTGCTCCTATTTGGAAGAATGTGATTCTTCTTGCGATTCACGTCGAACCAGTATCAGATATTCCGGAGATAGGTGCCCTCAAAGAGACATTGAACTTGCAAATTGACCCGTTGTTTGAAACCATCCGAAAGGCTGGCATATCTGTCAAGCCTTGGCGAGTAAGCTTTCACGTGGACTTGAGTGACGTCCACCCATCAAGTGTGTCCAAAGAACAGTTTGGCGCACAAATCATGTTTGAAGGGTCCTTATTCAATGTCTTGGCAAGAAAGCGCATGGAGGATAACTTGTTGGTTAACTATCTAGAGGAGCTGCAGATGAACTGTCAAGCACGTAAATTACTTTATGACTTTCAAGAATTTGTAGCAGGTCATCCTGGGGCAAATACTTTACTGGTAGACCTGGTCAAAAAGCTCGAGGTGAGCAGGGTTCTCCACTGTTTTATGTTTCAAAAATTGTCGGAAGCTGATGTTTCCGCTGATGTTTCCTTCTAGGTTGTCCGTCTCTTCATAATATCTGAGAAGTTGTGGACATCCCCTGATTCTAATGACCTATGGGCGGTTGAGACGTACCAGAAGGTTTCACCGAAAAAATATGTTAGCCATAAATTGCCAGTCAGTTTGGAAGAGAGTGATTTACTATTCCAGGCCCTTCAAGCTTGGTCTCACTGGACATTCAACCTGTACAAAGGTGAGGCCTTCTTGGCCGAAATTTCTGCCAAAGGACACGTGCTGTCTCAATTTCAGATGGTGGATCGCGAGTAAGTTGATCCCCGAATTCCATTGTATAAATGTGTTTTCTCATTTCATTGAAACGTTTTCCTTTCAGGGCTTGGTGGTCATCCGAAAATTCAAGGGAAAAAGGTGTTGCATCCTTCTTGAACTCGCATAAATGCTTGCCAACATGTCTGGACCTAGGTTTTACGGCAGTCAAGAAAGATGGATACAGACCCAGGCGTGCAGCAACAGGCTTGCGAGCTTTGGAGACAAGCCCTATGAAAGCTGCAGATGCAGCGCACAGTCCTGATGATGATGGTTCGGATTGGGGAGGAAATGTCTGTTCTACACAAATCAGCAGTTCTTTTATGAGTTGAACCATTTGTTTATAAGTTAAACTGGTCCGGGTTTTGTGATGTTCAGAAATTAAGTGACAAAGAAATACAAAGATGAGAAGTTCTTTTATAAGTTGAACTGTTTGTTTATAATTTAAGTCCAATTTTTGTAACGATGAAATTAAGTGACAAAGATAGTCCAAGATGCCCAGTTCTGTTTATAAGTTGAAATATTTGTTTAAAAGTCAAACTGGTCCGTGTTTTGTGATGATCCGAAATGAAGTGACATAGATACTCAAGCACTTCCTCACCGCAAGTACAAACTTTGTCATAATTGGCACACTTCCAATAAAGATAAGACGTAAGGCTTATTGACTTTGGCGCACTGCCATCCAGCAATGCTCATGTGACCACGATACCCAAGCGCTTTCTCTCCCCAATGGTCAAGTGACCACAAGTACTACTTTATTATTATTGGCGCACTGCCATGCAACAAAGATATGACATAGAGATTATTGGTTTTGGCGCACTGCCGTTTAACAATTCTCAAAAACATTATTATGATTGGCACACTGCCATTTAACAATTGTATATGACGTAGAGATTATTGATTTTGGCACACTGCCGTTGAACAATTCTTGACTGACGACAACATTATTATCATTGGCACACTGCCATTTAACAATTGTATAAGATGTAGAGATTATTCATTTTAGCACACTGCTGTCCAACAATTCTCCACTGACGACGACTTTATTATCACTGGCACACTGCCATTTAACAAAGATGCGACAGATAATCCTGGGAGGAACTCAAGCATGGCCTATTTATATTCTTGGGATTGAGAAATCAGCACTTCACAAAAGCGCTTGAAACAGGTGCTTTTCAAAAGCATTTCACTCAAAAGCATCTGATGCATTTCACTCAAAAGCATCAACTGCTTATGATGCTTTTCGCTTAAGTTCATCAAGTGCTTATAGTGCTTTTGAGCAAAAGCACTTGTGTTTATCTTATCAAAATTATGATAAGACACTGTGAATACAATTGAGCGAAATGTCATTTTGAAATGGCGATGACATGCATTTCAAGGTGTTGGCTGGCCAAAACAATCTCATCCGAGCATTTTGGCAGATAAGCAGATTATGCACAGATTTATCGCACATTAAAAAGCAAGAATGAAGATGAATTAAAAGCCTTGAGAACACCATTTGAACCCTCCATGGCTTTCAAATCCTTCAGCAGTGATATCTACGCATGTTTTTTTTTGGTAAACACCACAAGAGACTAAGATCATTACGAACAAACATTTAGCAATTAATTTTTGGGGAATGATCTTTATACATGTCAACTCCGGTTCCAAGATTGAGAAATATTTTTGAAAAACCACAATAGCTACTTTCATGCATGCCATAGTGCATCAACATTTACAACCATATAGAGACCCGGGTGCAGACGGCGCAGCTCTGCTACAATAGCTGCATGACATCCCCACAAAGTGATCAGATCGATTCTGTCAGTCTCAATCTGCAGTTGTTGAGCAACTTCCTGGATGTGGTTGGCCAGGATCGGTGGTGATATACGCAGCATTTCCTCTAGGTCTGGGAATCGGCGTTCGATGATTTCATCCACATCAGCAGACGGGATTTGCGTCATTCCTTGCTCCCCGTTAAACTGAGCGGGATTATAATATGAAACATTGGGACGGCAGCTTGTTGGAAGAGCCGAATTGCAATTGTATCGGGTCTTTTTGGTGTTCTTCTCAACTAGGTATTCATTCATGATGGATCGTATTAGAGGGACTCCAATATCAAGGAACACCAATCTGTTGAAAGCTTTGTGTCAGAAACCAATTATTCATTTTAAATCACGACAAAAAACTTACTTTTCAAGTGGGTCGTAAGGATTATAGCGTCCATCATCCATAGCTTCTTGGATGCAGTCATGAATTCGCAGGCCATTGCGTCTGCGGATAAGTCTCCATAATGACTCTATTTTTCCGTTTTTGATTGAGCTAGTGAAGATGTGGGACTTTGTAGCATCTTCTTCCGAGGCACCAGCATATTTACGGGAGAAATGTATCTGAAGACCAGCCATATCAATAGTTTCTGTTCCGTGGTTGGTACAGGTTTGGACCGGGAAGCCGCCAGTTTTTTTGACTGTTAGAAGGTAGTGGTATGCAATCATTCGAGGGTCGTTATTGCTGATGCCAACGTCAAAGTGGAGGACACGGCGGGACCAAGCGTCAATGAAACCATAGATCGTTATACCGTAAGGCTTGAGCTTGTCGTGACCGTCGGAGGACCAGACATAATTTGGGCCCGGACACTCAAAGGCTTGGCGTTTGAGCTGTCCAGAGCCGCGAAGTGCAACACCATCCGGGTCCAGCTCTCTCATAATACCAGCAACAGTGTCACGATGAACTCGCACTTGCCGTAGACCAAGTGCATGTTGCATGGTGCGTATTCCGGCATCTCGGTCACGTTCCTCAATTTGGTGAGCAATAAGGTCTTTCAAGTTGTCTCGTGTGATGTCGCCAGTTTGGATGTCATCGCGACGCCAATTTAATCCTAGCTCTTGAGACATTGTAATCAGGACCTTCCGGGTAATTGGGATATTATATGCGTTGTTGATCTCACTGATTGTATCATCTAGGCCGTATGAAAGGCGATGACATTGTCGGATGAGAGGAATAGAGTCTTCTCTTTGAAGCTGAGTGAGAGAAGGAGACGCGGTGCTCAGCCCAAGCTTGGAGAGTCGACGATTCTGGTCATGCGATACCCAGCTTCGATCATCCGGGAAACAATTTGAGGGCGAGTGTGGCCCGCATGAACAAGCTGCTGGATCATAGCTAGCTCTGGGTCTGGTAGGTCTGGTGGCAGCCCTTCCATCTGAGGTTCGTTGTGATTGTCGAGATTGGAGGTGTTGATAATAGAAAGCTGTTCAAAGTAGATCAGAAGAATTCTTTTTGAATGAATTTTGCTGGATTGACATTTTTCATGTGTATAAATCACATCTGAAACCACGTCTGAAACACCATAAATATACATCACGTGGTCATTTTGTAGACCGAACACAAGTCAATGTTGACTTGCCACAAAACAACCTTTGGATGTCTTTGCAAAAGCAGTCCGTTGACAAAGACTGCCAATCGCGATTGAAAAGCAAAACAGCCCTTTGCCTCTAACACCACACGTGCGGGAAGTTAACGATGAGCTTGTCAGTTGACTCATGCCGGATGGTAACAATTTCTTCGGCTCATCAGTTGTTAAACTGGTATTCAATATATATCTATCGGTCACGGCAAATGTTTGAATTGAGCAAATAAATCGCGCTTGGTCGACCGGATGCAGCCCGATGCCCATTGCTGATTCCGAACGCTGGCAGTGCCGGGGCGACGAGTCCTGGTTGACAGGTTGGTGCTACATGTACACGACCAAATTCTATACAAGACTGAAGACTATATGTATATTCTAGTAATTTGAAGGATTTACTCACGTAGTGTATGTCACAAATAGCTGTAGGATCTAGTTGTAAGTTCTGTGATATGTACTTTGTATGTAAATGAGTGGTTGTATTTTTTGTGATATGTACTTGTAATACCAGTTGAGGTATTGAGGTTGCGGAAAGAGTTTTCGAGTTTTGGGGCTCAGGGTTTCTTGCGTACACCGTACCATTGCGCCAATAGTGCAACAATCTATAGTGGTACACAAACATTACAACCCATTCGAAAAACCCATTTAGGAAAAAATATAAAAATCCATTCAAAAGAATATTTTTTTGAACAGAAAATTCCAGAGGGACCCAATTTATTTTTCTGTTCAAAAAAATAATTTTTTAAATGGGTTTTTCTATTTTTTCTCAAATGGGTTTTTCAAATGGGTTGTAATGTTTGTGTACCACTTATATACTTAAAGAAATGTCCTTCCCAACCGTTTCCCCTCTTCAGCCTTAATTTACTCAATCCATGCTTTACTCAGTACCCTTTACGCTATACATCTATACTGAGCCCTATACTTACCTCTACCAACACCCTTTTCAATACAATCCTTCTACAACACCACCACTTTTGTGTACAGCGCCATGCTGTTCATCTACCCTGTTAGTTTATGTATATCTCATTGAATTTTTTTGTTCTTTGGTCATTTTTTGATTTTTTTCATACCCTGATGGAATTCATTCCAATTTAATTCATTACGATCAAAATCCATTTCCAAAACTAACAAATTCCCAACAAAATCAAATAAACTATTCTAACGACTCTCAACTCCATCTATATTCTCAAATTCTTGGTCTTCAACTTCATCTTATCATCAAATCCAACACCAACACCAACATCGAAATTTAGCACATTCAATTTGCAAATAATCTATTCAACGTCTGAGTTCATGATTTTCAATTTCGATTAGAGCCCATTATGTGAAATCTATTATGATTCCCTTGATTCAACCTAGAAATTATTCTTTTGCGAGTCATGATTTAGTCTTATCATTAGCTTCATAAACTATTTATCATTCGGTCCGACTCAACTCTTCAAAACATCCGAAAGAAATCATACATTACTTAATCCCATCGTTAGCTTCATTAACTACATCAATCAAAATCAAATGACGCATCACATTGGCAATCTTACCCTTAAATCGATAAAATGAATCTACCAGTCTTCTATCAAATTCAATTACAGATGATTAGGTTCTATCAATTTTCCAAGACCCCGACTATCACAGACACACAAACAAACACCTCCTAAGACTGGATTTGTAGGTGGGGCTGAACCTTCAATTTCCAGACAGCTTTCCAATGGACCAATAGCCCTCTCAAGATCTTTAATTCAAGAAGTCGACGATCTTGGTATCATCGAAGCATTGGATAAGATTACGGAACCTATGGCTAACGATCAAAACTACAATCCAAAGATCAAGGATAGCTCAGGTACCGGAGTAGGTGTCAGAAAGATTTGTAAGTGTTTTCATTTATATTATATGTAGATAATGTGTAGATACTGAATCGATTGGTGTTTTTTTCAGTTCAAAAACATGGCAGTCAATCTGACAATCTGGTAGAGCTTTGTTTGAGAAATCTGCATAATGAAGTCGCTTCAAGTGGTACATTTGATCACTCAAATTGTGGTTATAAGATATTATTAACTTCAGCAGCTTCATTATCAAATCAACAAATTATTGTAGCTGTATTGATTGATATAACAATCAAAATTGAACACTCAAATGAAATTAAATTTGATCTTGGAACATAGGATGTAGTCGCTTTGAGTGCAACAGCTGATCACTTGCATTTTGGTCATACCACCTTATCACCTTTGGCAGCTTTTCATCAAATTGACAAAACAATGTAGGTGTAACAGGTAAGCATTAAACTTCTTTTTGAGTATATGAAGATTTTAAAAACAACATAACAATGAGACTCATTGAAATCTTCTACCTGATTTATATTTTATTATCTGAACAGAGGCTAATTTATCAACTAACAAGAAGTAAACTTTTTCAATTTAATTTGTAAAAGGTCATTAGGAATTCTAAGCACACCATCAGAATATTTATGTGGTTCAACAGCCACAGACTCAAATGTTGAAGCATTAATATTGTCATATGAAACTTCATCTGGTCCTGAAAACATTTGTATCAAGAATGGATTTAATATATGAGTTGTAAGTGATTCAATTGAATCAAATGAAACTCAAAATAATAGTTCTAATCAAGAGATTAAAGAGGTTAAAATCAGTAGTAGTGAAATTCATAAATGGATTTATGTGCAAAAAAGTAATTCAAATCATTCAAGATGATTTTAAAAAAATGTGTTTGACAAAGATTGTAATTTAGTGATTTTGACTCATGTCTCTACTTAAAGAAAGTGTACCTTCACTGTTTTCCTACTGTAAAACACTTTCAATTTTCACATTTTCATTGCTCCTTTAATATTTACTTGCACTTTTGTCAAAATCTGGGGATCTATCAATCATTCCTTTTGAAAGGAATTTTTCAAAATCATGACACCAGTTTTTAGGTTTGGAAGGTGTGGGGGTAAGGCTTTTCAATGATTATTCATTACATTTGTGTAAGATTTTTAGGGTTGGAAATTAAGGTCCATCAAAATGCTTAAAGAATAGAAGTTGACCAGTACAACTTGAAATTGAAACATGATCACGACTGTGGAAAAACTAACAAATATCTTGTATTCTGAATGCACAAGTTATTTGATTCAAATTGAACAGAAAATAATGATAAACTTACCATTTGAATAAATTGAAACTTTCTTTCTTTGGGCAAAGTAAATATGAGACTATCAGTTGAAGTTGTAATCAGTGGTAATCTTAGGATTATGTTCTTTGTGGTTGTCCTTACCACCTTTGTCTTCAGCTATATAGGAACTATCATCACTCTTTGTTGTCAATCTTATTGATCCTTTGTATTTACTCACCTCCTTGATGTCTTATACCTTTGTCAACACTTTCTGTTTTTCACTTTTTGACTCTTACTGACATTGCCGGTCTTAGGAATAATTCTCCTTTTTCAGACAGTCTTTCCATTGAAAATGGAGTATTTGAAAAAGGATTTGAAATCAAGATCTCAGAAGGTTGAAAGAGCAGAGAAAGATATGTTTTAGAAGTTTGTTGAAAAAGTTTTCAGGTTTGATTGTTATTCTTAATATTTCTTATCACCTTTCCTTTATGTGATTCATGTTTCACAAAGAGGGAATGTGGGTACGTCCCAAAATCAGATAATTGAGCTATAACAATATCCAGTGCGAGTAAACAAGTTAAATGT